CGTAAGCTCAAAATCAAGTCTTGAAATAGTGGCTTTATCTTCACTCACTGCTTGCAAATCTAATATTTGATGTCTAAGACTGTCTAATTCCAGTGTTTGTAGCGAATTCAATGAATATTGTAAATGAGCTTCTTCTTTAGAAATATGTAGCATTTTTTTCAAACTTTTATTCTCTATAAAAAGTTGCTTCTTTTCATTTTGCAATTCTTGTATACGGTTATCATCTGTTTGTATCGTTTCTTGCAGCCTTATCTTTTTAGACAATGTCTTGTGTACTTCAATCAATCTCTCTTGCAATTCAGAATTAGAAATAGAAAGTTGTTTAACATTATCTTCGTACTTGGTTAATTGCGCTTGTGATATTTCAAGTAATCTAGCCATTTGATCAGCTCGCTGTCTTTCAATTAATTCCTTGGTTTCTATCTCTTTCAATTTTTGTTGTAAACAATCATCACTCTCGTAATTTGTTTTCCGCAAATCTTCAATTAATTGCCCTTTCTCCTGTCTTATTGCCTCTATTTCTGTTTTCAAAGATAATATTTCGTTAGAACTAGGAGATACCATAATAGTTTCTAACAAAGCATGATGACGTATATTCAATTCCTCATATTTTTCTTTCAATTCGTTATACACTATTACACTCACAGAATTATATAAATTACTCTGCAAGAGTGAAATTTCTGATAGCAACGTTTTACTGTATTTATTTGCCTCAGTAAGCGTTTTATTAAAATCACTCTCTTTTTTAATTATTTCTTTTTGATATTCATATAATCTATTAGTTTCCTTGTTAAGCAATTGTTGAAGACTAGCATTTTTTCTGTTCATTACTATTATTTCATTAGCAATATCCGCATATTCTGTCGTTTTTGCTGCAAAGGCTTTCTGAGCTTCGTCATCTCCATTTTCAATAATCTGCCAATTTTTCTTATAAATTTCTAATTGCTTTTTAAGACCATCTATCTCATCTGTCAACTCATTATTTTCTTGAACTAATAAATCTTTCTGCTTCTCCCATTCCTCTGTTTCATTTTTATATGCCATTTGTAAAGCTTTCATTTCTGCAAGATACATTGTTATCACTTCATCTTCCCCATGTTTCTCATATAATTTTTCAAAATCTATATCTTTATTTATTGCTAAATCTTGCAAAATATTATCCTTCCTTTGCAATTCTTTCCTGTAAATCACATGATAATATTTTATAAATTATAATAAAGATAATATATCAATTATATCATTGTTTATAACAGAAAATATAGTAGTACTACTTTGATAACAAATTCGAAAAATACCTCAGCGTTTTAAGTTGTGATCTTAACTCAGCATTACTACCCTGTACAACATTAAGATGTTCTTGCAATCTCATAGCTGGATGGTACCAACCAGCTAAATGTCTAACGTCTAAAGCTTCTAATAATCGTTCCAATGTACTGGATTGTATTTCCACTTCACTCTTACCTAAAACGAGAAATGTAGTGAGATATTAGCTTTTTTTTAAGACACTATTAAAAAAATACAAAAATAGCAATGTTCTATATCTACTCAAATCAAATAGAAAAATTAAATAGGTTTAGCAGATTTTATTTCATATTAAATAAAAAATAATTAAGCAGAATAAAATACAGTGTCAGAAATGGAAATGTGTGCAATACTAAAGTACCGTTAAAGTTAGCGAAAATTCACCATCTTGATTGCGTATACTGTCCATAATCTCATGCATGCCCGTTCTAAGTGCCTCATTTTCTTCTATAAGTATCTGAATATTTTGATTAACTTCAGAAATATCTATTTTGGAAGATATTTGCATATTTTCTGATTCCACTAATTTAGTCGAATGTAAAAACTGATTACTGGAATCACCTAAATTGTTTGAAATATCTAATTTCTCAGACTTACTCAATTTATATTTTAACATTCTTATCTACAAAAAGTAAAAATTTGTAACAGGACTTCCTCTAGTATATATCATTATAAATTATCTCAAACGGAAAACATACATATATTTTATACACAAGTTCTAAGTTAATTTTTCATAAATAATCTTACATCTGATTTTAATTCTAAATTTTCTTCTACAAGGCTTTTATTTTGCTGAATAAATTCTTCCATTTTCTTTGATTCCTCTTTACGTTTCGCTACAACATTTTTAATCGATATCGATTCATCCTCTGGAATTCCTAATTTTTCTCTGTTATGATATGGAAAAAAAGTTATACTTATTTCCTTTTTTAGGGATAAGGAATATAAATTAATATTTTAGAATTTTACCTAAGAGTTAAGATCTCCATTTCTTGATATGAATTTAATATCTCCAATTTATTAATAACATTGGCTAAATCTTCAATATATTCATTCTTATGATCAATTTTAATTTTTAATTCTTTAATTTCGTTTAATGCTTTAGCTAAAGTCTGATTTCCATCTTCATATTTTTTTAATGTAGATAATACTTCGCATAACTACATAAAAAATTTATCATTTAATATATTATTTAGCAAATAAGTATTTAATAAAATTATTGCCATTTTTATTATATATTTATTAATATGATTTTTTTTAATTGCTTTATTTTCAAATAATTATGAAATATTTAATACTAAAAAATGATAAAAATTATAATTTAAAAAATTTTCATATTTCCTAACTTTTTCAGGAAAAAATTAACTCTTAAACAAGAGATTTATAGTTTAAAAAAATAAACAATGGCAATAATTTTTTATACAGTCTTGTATAAATTAAATATGCAAATATAAATGTCTGACTTTACTACTCTGTGACGTGGCATCATTCTGTGCTTGTGACAATACGTTTTCTAAGTTAGAAATCTTTTCATTTGCAATTTGTATTTTTTTCAATAAATTTTTTTGTTCTTTTCGTTTATCACTTTTTACAGACCTGTAAAATGAATTAATAATTTTCAAAAACAATTAAAAAGATATTACAAATAGGATAAATATAAAAGACTATATACCCATGTGTCTCTCCTTTTAATTTTTCTATAAGTGCAGCACTCTCATTTATTTCAATGACTGCTTCAGAAAGTTTAGTTTGCAATTCAGCTATAATCGCATCCCTACGAACTATTTCGTCATTTAGCTGAACAATCTGTGTTTTATTTTCTTCTTTTACTGATGTAATCGACTGCATTAAAGAATGTGATAAGCTTTCCTTCAAACGTGTTATCTCCATGTCTTTCTCATCTAATACGTCCTTATAACATAAATCATATAAATTCATATACATATTTTTTAAAAATATTCTAAATTCTTTTATAAGCATTATACCAAATTTATTTAATACCTTCCATTCAGATATTCTAGCATCAATGGCTATACCAAATTCATCCAGCAATTTGTCTCTATCTACTTGTTGTACTGTTAATTCTTCTATTTGAATAACTAAAGCTGCATTTTCTTGCTCCAACTTCAATATCTTTTCTGTAATGACATGGCATTTATATATTTATCAAAACATCAAATTCATAAAAAAAATAGGTATATTATTCATATAAAAAAACCTTTATATTCCACAATTTTTATTTGTGCTGAACGAAGTTCTTCAGTCACTTCGTTCATTTTTTCTGTTGCATCTTCCATTTCATCTTTCAATGTTGTTAGCTGCTCCTTAAGACTCTCATTCTCTTTATCCAAATTCTAAAAAATAAAAAATGATACAAAGAAAATGTATTATTATTATTACTGTAAACACTTTGTTATATATATTTACCTCTAATTCAGCCATAAGTGTCTTAACTTTTTCACTTTTGCCTTGTGCATCTGAATGTCTCTTTAAATCTGTATCCTATATACAAAATATAAAACACTTAATAAATACACAAAATACAAAACACTTAATGGTACACTAAGTAAAAAAACTTACTCTAATAAAACCATCATTTTCTTGTTTTGCTGCAGTTGTACCACGATCTGTCAAGATATCATGTAAATAATACTTGAAGATAGAAAGTGTGTATATATATATATATATATACAAAGTTATGATAATGTTACCTTTGATCTTTCGTTTAGCAGTCTCTGGACGTAATGAAGCTATCATTTCTTTTAATTCGCCACACTCAAGAAGCAAAGCCTCGACCTAATATTAATAGAATTATTTTACACTTAAAATATTAACGAGGAAAATTTATTTTTGTGAACAAACTTTTTTTAAATGAAAATAAATATTAAGCTATTAAGTATCATCATATAGAAAGCATATTTATAACGATATAGTAGACATTAGTATATCAATAATTTAACGTGAATAAATAATAATAAAAAATAATTTCCGTACTTGATTATCTTTATAAGTCAACATTTCTTGTGACAGTCTCACAAGCGTCCGCAAACCATGTATGTCAGCAATCTCATCCACGTCACATCGAATCACAGCGGGAAAAAGATCCTCGATTTCTTCGTCTGTTAAAGACGAAGCATTTACGGATAATAACCGATCCCAGTCAGTGCGAACCATTTTTTCGCGATAGCAATCAAGCAATGAATCATGCAACCCTCATCTGCATTATCTCTCGGATATTCTTCGATTTGACATGCTACAGTAAACAGTTTACAAACATTACCATGGTGGAAGCAGAGAGAAACCTGAGAGAGGACATGATCGCCCAAAACTGCAAAATGCTGCCCTCTGAAAAAGTGGATGTAAACTACATAGCAAGGTTCACTTTTCTGAGGGTACATATGTCCACTTTTCAAGGCTGCAGATAAATCGATATTTAGTTTTGGACTATCATATTCTCTCTCAGGTTTCTTTCTGATGTATACTTACAGACGATAATATACAGGGCGAATTATCCTAGAATCTCTAATCACAGTGGAGTTGTAATAACATAGAAGATTCATCAGAAGACTTGAAAAGATTGGTGTGTTGTGTTGCATATCAGAATTGTTTACATAATTGTGTAAGTACTGTGTAAGTATTGTTCCAACATGCACACAAAGAGATTAAGTGAGATCAGAATCAAGATGTAAGAGAGAGAGAGTAAATCAAGATCCTTTTACATCATGATCAGAACATTAGTCTGCTCGTATTCATAATCAAGCCTTATATTTAAGGCTTCCTATTTTACACAATTATGATGTTTTATTTTATCTTTGTTATTCACTGAATATTAAGGAAGTATAAAATGAAACATCATGCACACATTGCATAAAATGGAACGCATCTTCTGTAAGATATTCTTTATTTTTTAAAAGCACAATTACAGCATACATAATCTTCAAAAAAAAAGTTTTTTTATATATAATATTGTTGTTTTTTATTTTTAATATGTAACTATTACTCGTATTTATAGTTTTATATTTAAGGTATAAGTTTTATAATTAATCCTTAAGTTCATCTTTAGATGTTCTGGCCAATAAAATAATCATAGAGCACCTAAAGATAAATTTAAGAAAGTCTTAAATATAAGGCTTGACTGAAAACAGCATACATTTTATATCTTTTATATCTGTATTTTAACTGTGCGACTCTTTATTTTAAATTTATTGCTATATACTTGCTATATACTTTATGTTATATGCAATTTTATTTTCTTATTTTTTAGAAAAATGGTTGTAAGGCAATATCAAGAGGAACTTAAATATTTGGAGAAAATAAATGAATGTTGTTGGAGAATCAAGAAAGGCTTTCAACCTAACATGAAGGTAATTTTTTTTCTATTATATGTATATTATATGTATATGTAAAATGTAAGAATAAGATATTAAGAAACATATGTATATAACACTTTCATGATATTTTTAATATTACATGTTTTTATCTGTCTTTATCTACATAAATAAACTATGATTAAAGGTTGAAGGAGTGTTTTATGTAAATAATACATTGGAGCGATTAATGTTTGATGAGTTGCGCAATGCATGTCGGCCAGGTGCAGTTGGAGGCTTTCTTCCTGGGATGAAACAGATTGCTAATGTGGCTGCTTTACCTGGTATTGTATGGAGGTCTGTCGGATTACCAGATGTACACTCTGGCTATGGCTTTGCTATTGGTATATATCATCTTTTATTTTCTTATATTTTTGTCCAACACATGAATTTTAAATAGTCTGTAATAATTGACTATATCAAATGAATGAAATAATAAAATAATGAATGAGTATATTACATTTAGGTAATATGGCAGCATTTGATATGGATGATCCAAAATCAATTGTATCACCTGGTGGTGTAGGCTTTGATATTAATTGTGGTGTTCGTTTATTACGAACAAATTTATTCGAGAGAGACGTCTTACCAGTAAAAGTAATACCATTTTCTTCTTAATAATTGTTTTTATAATTTTATGCACTATAAAATAGTAATAATGTATATATCTGTGCTATACATTTTACATAAAAAAAACCTTTTTTTTTCTAGGAACAACTTGCGCAAAGTATGTTTGATCACATTCCAGTTGGTGTTGGATCTAAAGGAATTATACCAATGAATGCACGGGATTTAGAGGAAGCGTTAGAAATGGGAATGGATTGGTCTTTGAGAGAAGGTAAGGGAAAAAAATATGAAACAAAAGTTATTGATGAAATAAAAATATATATTAAATAATATATATTAAATAATAAAAGTACTCATATAAAATGTACTTAGGTTACATTTGGGCTGAAGATAAAGAACATTGTGAAGAATATGGAAGAATGCTTAACGCTGATCCATCAAAAGTGTCAATGAGAGCTAAGAAACGCGGACTTCCTCAAGTATGATAACATAATAGATATCTATAAAATCATATTTTTAAATTATTTGCAATTTTTTCTAGTAAATATATTTTAATATGGAATTTTAATATGGAAGATTTTGAGGTTGCTGATTACAAATCTGAAGTCAAAATTTAAAGAATTAAAAAATTAAAATTCCGACAATCTATATATATTTTATCTCGGCATAAACTATGCATAATTATGCAAAACCATAAATTGTACAAAAAGTTCAGCTGAAAAGAATAGAATTCTACATCAATAACGCAAATTTTTAATATGAAATAAAAAAATATAAAAACAAATATAAAATTTCAGCCAAATATATTGCCGAGTCAAATATTAAAAAAATACCGGAAAATTTCTTGATACTGGATGCATCTCTAATATTTATATTTATATTATTAAATAATTTTATATTAGTTAGGTACATTAGGAGCTGGAAACCATTACGCAGAGATTCAAGTAGTAGATGAAATATATGATAAATGGGCTGCATATAAAATGGGTATTGAAGAAAAAGGACAAATTTGTGTTATGATTCATTCGGGAAGCAGAGGATTTGGTCATCAAGTTGCTACAGGTTATACATTATACATGTGATTTTGTTTCTTTTTCTCCTTGTATATTATATTTAGAAACTATTAAAAATTATTCTATACAACAAAGTGACATTTCAGATGCACTTGTACAAATGGAAAAAGCTATGAAACGTGACAATATTGAAACCAATGACAGGCAACTTGCATGTGCTCATATTAAATCTCAAGAAGGTCAAGATTATTTGAAAGCAATGGCAGCTGCTGCTAATTTTGCTTGGGTTAATAGAAGTTCTATGACATTCCTTAGCCGACAGGTACTTTAAAGAACATATATATAAATACTAATTAATAGAAATACAAAATAATACATAATATATATATTTTAATAGGCATTTGCAAAACAATTCAACTCGTCTCCCGATGATTTAGATATGCATGTTATTTATGATGTGTCTCATAATATTGCCAAAATAGAAGAACATATAGTTGAAGGAAAACAAAAGACACTTTTAGTTCATAGAAAGGTAAGTGTTTATAAGATATACATTACAATTGTGAATAATAGCTTAATTTTGATATGAATATATTATAATATAATTCTTATCAAATGTATGTAAATGTATTTTACTTGAAGGGATCAACAAGAGCCTTTCCACCGCACCATCCTTTGATTCCTGTAGATTATCAGTTAACAGGTCAACCAGTTTTAATCGGGGGTACAATGGGTACATGCAGTTATGTTTTGACTGGGACAGAACAGGGTATGAAAGAAACATTTGGATCAACATGTCATGGTGCCGTAAGTGTAGAATTTATTAATTTTATATACATATATTATATATCATTTATATCAATTTTAATTTTACAAATAACTTCATACAAATAATATATTTATATTACATAAAGGAAAATATGAAAACTATCTCTATATACAAAAAATGTATGTACAGGGCCGTGCTCTTTCAAGAGCAAAGTCACGTAGAAACTTGGATTACATGCAAGTTTTGGAAAAATTAGAACAATTAGGTATATCTATTCGAGTTGCTTCACCAAAATTGGTCATGGAAGAAGCACCGGAATCCTATAAGAATGTAACAGACGTTGTTAATACTTGTCACGCAGCTGGAATTTCCAAGAAATGCATCAAACTGCGGCCAATCGCGGTTATTAAAGGATAATTTCCACAAGAAAATATTTTGACTGTGTTTTTATAATAGCGTAAAGCAAATTAGAATTAAGATATCGATGAATAAAGCTTAAATTGTATGTAAAATTATTTATATAACTTTCCATTTTTATAAATTATATTAAATACATTTCACAATATAAAAATTATATTAATATATTGATATTACATTAGCTTTCTTATTTAATAATAAAATAATGCTTAATGTATAAGTTCATTGTATCTAATGATATTATGAGATATTTATACATATATGTGTTATTAATGTAGTTACTAAAATAAATTAAAATTATTTATGTTTAAAGTTATTTATAATTACGTATGTTATATATCATGAACTATACATAACAGGGTAAGGGAAAAAAAGAATAAGAGATAACAAAATTTTTAAAAATATTTCGTTAGCGATTTATTAGAGAAAATGTACAATTACCTATTTTCATCATAAGAAAGCTATATTAGACTAATTCGTTGACTTTACACAGGAATTAAAAATTCGCAGCATTATATTTAACAAATCCTCCACTGACTAGAGAAAATAATACAAGAAAGATACACGAAGAAAAGATAGTCCCGTGTTTTTACTCGCAAGTAGATAATGGAAGCGAACCCATCACCATAAATAGTATGTATATATCATGACTCATAACGTATAACAGTGACTTATTGTTTGAACCCTTGAAAAGAGAGTACAAAGAGAAGTGATAGTCACTGGAGGAGTTGTACACCGAAATACAAAACCGACCAATAGGACGAATGGTCTGAAATGCATTCCACGAGAATTATAAAAAATGTACGTTATTTATAAAATATTATTCTAACGAACTTATGATAGGTGATAGTCAGGAGAAGGTTCAGCTACAGATTCAGTAGTGAACAAGGGGTTTGGGAACTCTGGTGGGTGTGGCAGTGGTCCAGCAGTCTTTGGCTGACGTCGATACGCCATAAGCCAGCATGACACAGCAATAGCTACGGCAACCAATGCCAAAAGTGCCGTAATTATTAATGCTATGATAAAGCCGACCATAGAAACACAGATATCTTCCACTCTTTGTGCTGAAGGAGCTGAAAGGTATCACAAAAATGATTACTTCTTTTATTTTAATAATCTTTTATTTTAATACGCATAAGAATCACCATAAAAGGTAGTGGCTTTTATCTAGCCATACTAGGTAATTTATGAATTAATTTTTAGATGCCTGTGATAATTTTTTTAAAAGAGTGACGATAAATTATTTCAAGACACTTGCCACATTTCAAATCATCATCTTTTACAGTATTTTTTTACACGTGTTATGCCTTACCTTCAGCTGGATCTGCTGTATACCTCTCCTCTCTCCTTTCCAGAGTGAATATTAAGTTCGATTGAATAGTTATCTCTTCACGAAGTTGACCTTCATATCCATCGGATACACTTAGAGATGTATCGTTAATCTCGGAATCAACGTCTCTACGACGACGGCCAAAGGCATTATAACCGCGACAGTTTACCTGATGATAGAAGAAATATATTTTTATTGTCAAAGCTGGCATTTCAGCTAAATGAAATATATATATAAAATGATTACGAGTAAATGGTTTCGAGTACTCACAGGTTGACAGCGTCCGAAGCATACGCGTATATTGCACTGAAATCTTATATTGTCACTGCTAGGGAATTTGAACGCATTAAAACTAGCCATTAATGATTGAGTATCAGGATTTTGCTCCCATTCTCCGAATATGGTGGGATCTGTCGCACAACCATTTTCATCCGTTACGATGTACTCGTTCTCTAAATTATCTTCCATCGTTTTAGCGACACAATTTCGCGCAAATCCACCATAAATAGCTGCAATATTATTTATTCTCATATTTTATAGCAGGATTAAATTGATGTTTAAATAATTAAATAAATAATTGAAATTACACATGAAACATTATTAAAAATAAAATACGGCACTTACTTGAAGGTTGAACTTCCACTTGAAGCATTAGATTATCTCCAATTTCGGCAGAGTTAATTTCATTTCCATTTTGTGCAACTATTTTCATTACGCATATAGGAGGTGGACCAGTGTTAGCGATTGTTCCGGCAGTCGTCAACATGGAGACGTTAAAACCAAGGGTAACATTTTGTTCTCCAGTTTGGTATATACATTTAATATGATAAGCTTGTGCCTTGTAAGTCATCAATTTCGGATGTTTCTGTATAACGAGCACAAAGCTAGCTTGTCCCTAAAAAGAATCAAGATAATGTAAATATCTTTCAATGCAACAAGTCATTGAAGCAGTTATGATATAAAATGTTATTCAACTAACATTCACATGTATGAGTCCGCAATTGCCAAATGCAACTTTGAACGTTTCGGTTTTATGATCAGTTTCGGCCGGTATCGAGACAACTCGTCTGCATTGTTCATCTTTGCTACGACCTTTAACGTACAAGACCCCGTCGAAGTCTTGATCTTGCAAATGTATTACGACTTGTACTCCATCTGATAGGCAACTTACATCCATTTCCGGTCTAGGGAAATCTGTTCGACCATCCTTTCTGTCATCTAAAAGATAGGAAACATAAGCATTAAAAGAATTTTTCAGACGAAAGTTACTCCATATCGATTAATTTATTATTATTTATAAAAAATATAATTCACGAAAAAAATGATACGTTTTAAAAATCGAATGTATGTTCTAAAAACTTATATATGTAAAATCTTTTAAATTATTGTAAATTATCGAAACTACGCGTTTATTTTTACAAATTTTCAACGTACAGCATTGAGTGTATGGGTTGCCCAAATAGCCATTAATGCAGATACAGATAGCTTGATGTCTGGTAGTGTTACAAAGCGCGTGCACGCCACACTGTTGCTTCTTGCAAGGATCTTGGCAAGTATGAGTGACTTTATCGCAATATCTGTCGTCGGCGCAGTCGTCATTATGTCTGCACTCGATTACACCAACTGAAATTAACCGCGATGATAGATTAGTGAAATGAGGAATCGTAAAACACCTCTTGATCAATATAAGAAATTGAATAACCAGCTTACTTTGTCTACAATATCCTTTGGTATCTATTTCGTATCCGTATCGCGTCGGACAAACACAACGACCATATTCATCTATACTGAAGCCCTTTTCTAAATCGCACACGCAGAAGCCTTCTTCGTTTATCACCATATTAGATTGTTTGCGACAAGGTATGCAGACGTCGTTTGCATCCTTACCGAATCCAGGTGGGCAGACGCAATTGCCGTATTCATCGCGAATCTGTCCTTTCCCAATTGGGCAGATTTCCGCTGGAATTTGATCACAACGGATAATCGCGTTTCCACGGTATCCTGGGAGACATTCGCATATCATGGTCCTGATTGGGCTGGTATCCAGAACTTTGCATTCGGCGTTAATACCGCACGGTGCGATCTTAGTACACGGATTAATGCACTGTCCGTTGAAGCATGCAGTTTGGGAAGGACACTCATTGTCTGCTTTGCACTTTTCCTTAACTACAAAAAGATTGAAAAAGAAGATCAGCGAGAAATTAAAACTGAAGAACTAATTATGTGCATATATTAATTTCAGCAAAGCTGAAATAGATCTTTCTTTTACCTTTAGTACAGCCTGACTTAATGTCGCCGATGTAGCCAGGTGGACACGCACATTCCACAATGTGATTATAAACATTGCAGTCCATATTGTCAGTACATGGATTCTGTATACAGGGATTTTCACAGCGATTGTTAATACAAGCCTTATTGGTAGGACAATCGGAATTAGTCCTGCATCCTAACAGAACGCAGGAGACCCGCGGATTGCCACCAAAACCTGGTGGACACTCGCAGATAGCCTTATGATGGATGCCGTGACATACGGCGTTCTTGCCGCAAGAGGCCAAGGATGGCGAGCACGCTGGTACACAATTGCGTTGGACACACACGTGTGAACCGCTGCAATCATTGTCCGTTTTGCATCCTGCAACTAAATATCAAAATACAACATAAAAATATATATCATTAGAAAATATAACTCTTTATTAACGTGAAATTTCCTCTTAAGCGAGGAAAAATTATAATTTGTCTACAAACAACAAAACAAAAAAGTACCTCTTGTACAAAGAATATCCGGGTTTCCGTCATATCCTAGCGTACACGAGCATATCGGCTTATGATTGATGACATTGCAAACCGCGTTAGGCCTGCACGCGCAGGGATCCTTACAGATCGCGTTCACGCAGGAGCGTTCCAAAGAACAATCATCATCCTTGGTACATTCGATTTTGAGAATCGGTTTGGTAGCTCGACAAGTACCACTGCCGCTGCTAACGTATCCGCTAGGGCATACGCATACCATGGTGCGTATCGGATGCGTCGGTAGAACCCGACACTCAGACGGCTCAGTGCATGGTTGTATGATCGGGCATGGAATCTGGCATTTGTTGCTCAAACAAGCGAGTGAATCCGGACAGTCACTATCCTCTCTACATTCAGGTCTGACTTCTAGTTGGCAATTGATGTACGGATTTCCGGTGAAGCCCGATGGGCAGCGGCATATCGGCAAGTGATTTAGGACTCTACATTCCGCGCGAGGCGAGCAGGGATTGTCATGGATGCAAGGATCGATACATTGCATGTTGATGCACGAGTGATCGCCTGGACAGTCGCCGTTACTGTAGCAACCGATCACGCGACAGCGATCCAAGGGATTACCATGATAGCCCTTACGGCAACGGCAGTCGGCTACGTGATTGTTCGGGAAGCACTCGGCATTGGTACCGCATAGATCTGTGACCAGGCATGGGTTCACACAGTTATTATTCTTGCAGGTCTTATCGAGCGTGCACTGACTGTCGTGCTGGCACTCGACGGAATAACAGGCGATCTCGGGATTGCCTTGATAGCCCTGCTCACACGAGCAGATTGGTTTATGATTCTTTACGTAGCAAGCCGCATTAGTACCGCAGTTGCAGGGGTTGCGACATTGCCTGTTAATACACGTCTCACGATCACTGCAATCGTCGTTCGTCGTACACGTTCCAATGACCGTCAATTGTACTATAACATTAAAAAAATTTATGGATAACCAATTATTTTAAAATGGGTTATCCATAAAATAATTTATGGATAACCAATATATTGTTTTTTAATTGATCGATTCAAATAATATTTAGCTTTACTTACTTGGCCTGCAAACACCGTCGATATCGGTGATCCAACCCTCAGGACAGGTGCAAATCATGGTCCTTACGGGTACCGTATCGAGAACATCACAACGAGCATTTTCGAGACATGGTTTGATGACCGGGCAAGGATCGATGCATTTCTCCCGAATGCACACCAACTTGTCTAAACAATCGATATCGACTTTGCATTCAGGCTCCTCTATTTCCACTGCGGTATGCCGCTCGCAATAAGAGAATGGATTTCCCAGCGGAATGTTTTCGGGGCAACGGCAGGATGCAATGTGATCTTGAACGTAACAAACCGCATTCTGCGCGCAAAGTGAATTCTCGGCGCATGGGTTTATACAGCGATCGTCGTTGCAAGCCAAATTGTGGGGACAATCATGATCGGTATTACACTCAACTCTTTCACAATGAATCTGCGGATTGCCATAATAACCCGGACCGCAACGACAAGCCGACCGATGATTCTTGCCGTAGCATTCCGCGTTGATAGCGCATTTATTGTCCAAGATGCAAGGATTCACGCATTGGCCATTATAGCAGGTAGCTGCGTAGTCACATTCGCTGTCAGATTCACAATCAACTGAAATAGATAATCATGAAAAGAAATACATTAAAAATTATGAGATTTTTTTTGTAATTCTTGTGATCCGGAATAGTGTCCTATTAGTAAGACGATTAAGTCGCGCCATTAATAATAAGATGTAATCGCAATTAAAATAATTCATATACTATAAACATATTATAAATATATTAACATATAGTAATCTTAAAAAACTGCAAATAATTGTTATAATAATAAATTATTTGCAGTTTTTAAGATTTTTATTAACATTAAATTATTAATGTTCTTACAAAATGCTTATTAGCATTAATTATATTATTAAATTACGTGTCATTAATATGATATTATTACTCTATTTCTGTTCATATGTGCGTTTCAAAATCAAAAAAGATTTTGGCGCGCGGTTTGTTAAGTTATTTAAATGTATATAAATTCGTACCGAAATATTTAAGCGCTAAGCTCCGCTTTGACCGATAATAAGATTTCTCTTACTTAATTAAATTTATTCTCATCGGTCCGATTTAAAACTATTATAATTAAGTTATAAATTTCATTCGCTATATAAAATTCACTGTATAAAAAGAATAGAATAAATGCTACTTACGTTTAAAACATCCTAATTGAGGATTTCCAGAATAGCCTGGAGGACATACACAAGAAGGATAATGATTTATGACGTTACATTTGGCATTGGGTCCACAGTTGCAAGGATTAATGCACATGCCGTTGACACACGCATAATTTCCTGCGCACTCGCTGTTTGATACGCATTCAGGCGTGATCTCCGCTGCAATTAAAAATATCGTAATATGGGATAAAATTGTTACAATTTTTCCAAAATATATTCTTTATTCCTAATAATGCTTACGTGGTATACACTTGGTTTTAGGATCGCCGATATAGCCAATCGGGCATTTGCAAATCGGATTATGGTTGTCAACATGGCACAGAGAGTTCTTGCCGCATGGATCACCAGCAACACACGGATTTACGCAAAGTGAATTTATGCATTGCTTGTCGCGCGCACATTCATTGTTTGTATAACATTCTGGTCGAGGTCCTGGCAATGGAACAA